TTTTTTAAAAAAAATAATTTTATTTTAGTTTTTTTAGTAAAGTAATACTTCATTTATTATTAAATTAAAGTATAATAGAATAATATAAAGTTAATTTAGATTATTCTTTATTTAATATAAAAAAATTATATAGATTAATTAAAATTTGGATGATTTTTATTAGAAGCAATTATAATTTTATATTGGTATACCAATCTTTTTGCATCAGCCCATATGCTTTTTTACACTACATCAAAAAAGAAACAAAAATATTACAAGAAAGAATTTTATCTTTCTAATGCAAATATCAAATACATGATACAAAAAAGTTAATTTTAATTCTATACATTTACATAAGGTCTTCTTACATTAAATACATTTTTGTTCCCCCTATTTTTGGTTCTAATTTTATCAGTTTTTCTTTTTGGCTTCCATTTATTCGTGCCTTCATTTGACTTTGAGATAATTGCCTTGTAGATTATCATACAAATAATTGTTATAAACAAACTAAATACGAAATAAAAAAATGTTTCAGATAAGAGAAACTTACTCGACTATCCATAAAGACGCGCAGCTGACTTGTATTGCAATATATTCCCGCATTATTGAGATCTCTCAAAATTTGATCAAAGTTAAGATCCTATGAAGATGTATTAATAGAATTTAAAACGTACACACACGTAAATTATTGTAAAGAACAATATTTACGAACTTGATATTCTAATATAGACAGCCATAATCGTTTGTTCGAGCTTATATAATCGCTGATTTGTTTGGCCATTTCCTCTTCTAATAAATATTCTTCACTCGTAGTGTTTAAAGAATCAATAAGATCTAGAAGCGGCAAATCACCATCTTCACTACCATCAGATTCAGAAAGAGCATCGTCACTTATGACAATAGGTTTGGTAATGGAATTAGTTGACTGTTTTTTCTGTCGTTCAGGTAAGATATCGATCTTGGATGTATCCAAGTTTCCGGTATTAACCTTACTTAAACTCTTCCATAGAATTTGTAGCTGTTTTATCATAATATTTCTAGAGCTTGGCCGAATTCCGTATTTTGATACCATTACCTATCATCAAATGATTAATTCAAAATTATCTCTCTTTTTCTTTCATCTTAGAAAATGTTTCATCACCAACCTTCAACTCTTCTAGGGACATTAGAGTATAGTCCGGCATATCTTCATCTGAGATTTCAGTAGTTTTCATTGAATTTTTTACATTTTTCTGGAGATTCGAGTTTAATATTTTGACGGACTCTCTTTTCGTATTTTTTCCCTCTATCTTGGGCATACTTGGAGAAACTCCACTTATTTGCTTCTCTGGTAATATATTTTGCGGTGGCTTTATTGGAGAAAAATCTATTGAAGGCTCATGATAATCATCATCATTATAATAATCATCAAAATACTCTCGCAATACTTTATCATCAACTTCCAAAGTAGGTTGCTGCTGCTCTATTATGACCCGATGGCTCACCGAACTAATGCTAAATTGGTTGTTTATTGATTTATCATGAGGATCATGAGGATCCTGAGAATTTATTTTTCCTTTTTCACCCGCAAGAGGAACCTCATCTAAATTCTTGAATAATCCATAATTAGAATTCTTCAGTATATCTTCCGAAATATGACCCTTTTGAATGTCATGATCTTTCCTTGTCGATAACTCAAAAGATAGTCTCAATGGAGGAGGTAAAGATTGAATTGAAGAATCGATTGAATCATCATCTGACAGAATTGATGTCGCTTTTTGATTTGATGTTGAGCTCGTATTCTCCGAGCCCTCTTTAACCTTTTCCGTTTCTATGTGTTCTTTTTCGAGATGATTGTTTTTGTTATTGTTATTTTTATTTTCATTTTCATCTATAATCTGGTGAATCTAATAATAATTAATTAGATTAATATTGTGCAATAAATAATGATTTCTTCAAAATAGTCAAATATTAAATGATCACTTTTTCAAGATGGAGTTTCAAGAAATTTTTTAATTCGTTTGACAGAATTTCTTCTTCCTTGTAAATCTTCTGTTCATTTATCTTGTCCGATTTTGTGTCGCCATTCTATTTTTAACAGATGCATAGTCAATAATGGAATAGCACATGAACTTTAATAAAGTATTTAATCATTACCTTATAATGAATGCGTAAATTCTTTATCAATTCATTAATGGAAGTATCTAATTTCTCATCATTTTCAAACTTCTGCATATTTCTGTGTTTCTGTGTGATCAAACAAACGTTGTTTATAAATTAATAAGAGCTTAACCAATCAAATTGCAATGGCGAAAAATGTGACGGATCATATGATTTTCGATTAGAATTAGAGTTCGGAATTAACGTTAAGATTAGCATTATTATAATGCTGGTAATGAACAGACTTTTGCATTGAATCGGAGTTGTTAAATAAATATATCATGAAAAAATGCAATTATTCTAGAATGATTTTACTAATAGTCTTTTAAATTTCACAAAGTGCTAGCTGCTAGTTTCTAAAGTCACCTTTCTTGAAAAAATTAAAAAGACATACAGTGACGATCAAAAGTAATGCAATGCAAAATTGAAAATTGTTAAATCGCGATATCTTTGCACAGACTTAAGAACATCAAATTATAGTTGATAGATTTAATTAAGTATATGCAAATAACTTAAATATAATAAATTCAACATGGACTATTAAACCAATTATGTCATAATCACAACATTTATTCAATTTTTAGTATTGTATTATATTTGCTCATTTTAATATAAATTTGTATAATCCTCAATATAAAATAAAAACATCATTTTTTTTATATCTGATATACTACCATCTAGTATAATCATCATGTACTTTTATTATGTCATAAATTCTTTCTGGCATAAAGTGAATTAAATTCATGCAATAATTCACATCAATTTTCTTCTAAATAAGCTGTATTTTTTTTCATAAGTCTTCTGTATCTGAAATTAATTCAGAAAGATACTAAAGATAATGATCTATTTTATTTTATAAATATTCAATTGGATTTAGATTGGATAATTGTGCTGATCAATCTAAAATAGTTAATATTATTATTATCAAATCACTCTTTAATCAAATTAGCTATATGTTTGGAATTATTATCCTATTAAAAAATGATTTCATTAATAACAAATTCATATTTTTCAATAGTATTTATAAGATCTTCTTCAAGAATTTATTAATATAATACACTATTTATATTTCTATCAATCTTGTAAAAGTTATATTATAAAAGATGAAATATTATTATTTTTTTATTATCAAATTTTATTATAGATTTAATATAATAATTTTTTAATAACTTATCTATTTTTTTTTAATAATACTATTTTTAAAAATCTGAAACTTAAATTTATTAGATTAGATTATCTTTGATCAATCTTTATAAATCCAGTTTTTATATTTTTTGATAAATTTAAGATAATATTATTAATATTTAAATTTCAAATATAGTTTTTTTATTCTTGTTACTAAATTATTCTTTTTTAGTATATAATAAATAATAGGCTTTGAAATTTAATATTCTTAGTTTCATAAAGATAATTTTGAATAATAATAATAAAATAATTATAAGATATAATAAGATAGATTATTATTCTTTTTAATTAATTATTTAAAATTATAAATAATTAAACTTATTTATATTATTTAAAATATGTTATTTACATTATTTTTTATTAATATATGAGATAATAAAAGAATTAATTTTATAAGTTCTTATTATTTCTCTTATAATATAGTTATTTTAAAATAAAATAATTATTTTAACTTTTTCTTTAAAAGTTATATAATATTTTAATATTTATTTTTTATTATTAAAAAGTTATAATATAATATAGTCCAGTACAAAAATATAAATACATGAACATACTATATATAAATTTTTTTAAAAGTAAAGTATTTATAATTTTAATTATTTAAATATAATTATATGCTATTTA